ATTTATCCATCCATCAAGTTAGAGGGGTGTCTGCATTCAATTTCGATTTTTTCCAATTCATTTTTCACCGGTAGGTTCACCCGCTCTTATCTATGGAATTTTAGGGTATATGAAATCCATAAGGGTTAAAAAGGAAAGAACATACCTAGCCGGTGGCATCGTATTCCCTCTACCGGCTTCCGATGGTGTGCCACCGTTTGATCCTTGCCAAATCGGTTGCGGCGAGAAGTCGTCGTCGTCGTCGTCGTTCCCGACGACGTCGAACTTGTCCGAGACGGCCATCTCTTCGTCAGCGCTCTCTGATCGTACCATTTCACACGTTTGTCGTTGTCGTCACAGGACGTTCGCCCAGAGGGTTACCTAAAAAATGGTAGGAATGGGGAAGTTGATAACAGACACGAGTCCATAAGCAAATTACTACCGATAGAGAATCAACACCATGTTAAAAAAAGAGAATTTCGTAGAACTGGTAATACAGTTACATACAGAGAATAATCCCCTGCTGTCTCTTCAGTTGAAGGAAGAGAAGAATCTTCAAAATATGTCCTTAGATGACGAAAAGTGGGTCCACAAATATCAGCAAGAGTAATTGAGATGCGTGTCAATTTGATCAGACAGTGAATCCTCGAAAAGTGGTATTATTCAACGATTAATGAAGAGCCTGAAAGCCAAGCTACACTTGGGGTTTGCCAGACAGACATGTGGTGGGCGGTCATCCAAGCCCAGCCTTTGGTGAGTCATATGAGAAGAGACGTTCAACGTATGACTGTCTACCAGAGGGTTGGAAAGCGGTTCTTGACCGAGTCCACTGGGGTTCTTTGTACGTATGAATGCATCATTGAGATCTAATTGATTATCACACTTACTAGTAACTTTTTGAGTACATTCTCAGAAAAAAGTATAATCTGAGGAAAAACCAATGTATTGAGCTGTACTATTTAAGTCTTTGCTGACCAGAAATTCAGGAGTAACGCTCAGACTAAGGGGCAAAAGCAGTACAGTGGTGGTACTACAACCGAAGGGCAGGTACCCACCACAAGATCAATTTCCTCCCAAGCGACCACACCTTTTCACTAAGACCATTTCACAAGGCATGTTCGAAGAAACAAAAAGAGTCATTTCAACCATTGCTGCCACAATGATACTGCACTGCGGCGCAGCAGAGTTATGACTTTTTAGAAAAGGAACGAATTTAGGTGGGTTATGTGACTTCTTAAAAAATTTGTAGGCGTCAATTACTTTTTGCTATCATATTTCAGCTTGTGACTCTCTCTACTTCTTCCTCCTAGGAGACTTGCCCGAATAATTAGTGGGATCCTTACCTCACGGTTCTACAGCACAATCTACCCAATGCCTTTGGAGTCGAAAAATGCCGCAAGGAAGAACACATGAAAAGTTACCCAAAAATTGGCTTGATTTACCACTAATCGCTACTAGGACCAGACCTATGAGAACCACGCCATATGGGTAGCCCTAATAAATAATTTATAACATAGCACAAGGTTTTTTCATAGAGTTCTGCAAAAAGCTCAACTCACAAGGTACATATAGTTTTGGGTTGACCTTTTATGATTCTTTTAGTGCAGAAACATTTTCCTTGCATATCAACTATGCCAAAATTGGAAAATAGCACAAACAAGAGCTGAACAAACTATGGTAAGTGCTGGCATTTTTCCGCCAATGATGAAATAATACAGGGCTTGGATATTATCAAAAAGCAGATGGAATCCTGCACTTTCAGGCTTCGCTACCGTGCATATTCGAAAAATGCAGGATATAGATGCAGAGTATGCAATAAATCTAGTGCAACGAGCATGAAAGAACCCATGGCAAGCCTGGGAACAACCAAACCCAGAAGCACAGCACCTCACTGACTGCTACATTCTTATTCATTGTAAAGGTTGTCCGATCAGCTGCCGGCTCGCGTGTAAAAAGAAAACCCAAGCAAGGGATGGGGTAGGTCGGGAAAAATTAGGAACTTATAAGAAAGATCTTGAGAATTTCCAGAAACAACAAAGGTTCCAGGAGATTGTTGAAAATCCTCGGTCTTTCACCAGCATTATACGGTAGGGAGCTGAACAAAGGAAATCACCCTAAACCTGGGGTAATGTTCGTACTAGGGGTATGGGTTAAATCCGAAGATGTACCCCGACCGAACCCTGGACGGCAACCAGTCATAAATAGGAGTAAATCATAAACATTGTATACTCAAAGTGGGATGCGCTATCAAAACATCTCAGTTGTCCGAATACCATCATACCACTACCTGAAGGAACCAAAAGATGTCTATAGCAGTCTTAGAAAAGAGGAATTAACATAGGTTGAATTACTTTGAAAATTTTGTATGAGAAAGTTTTATGGAAAAAATCTTACGCTTGTGAAAAGAAATCCATAAAAACTATAAAAACATAAACAAAATAAAAGGGTAGAAAGAGAAAAGAAAGAGAAGGAAAGTTGCGTATGAAAAAGTTGATCGTCAAATTTTATAAACTGAAATTTCATCGGTTGTTCTTTGATATAAAGGACAGATTACGTTCCAAAAATAAAATGAACAATGTGCAGAAGAGAAAATGAACAAAGTAGGATGTGAAGTCGTAGCTTTATAAAAAATGTTTACCTTTCGGAAAAATAAACAAAGAGTAATTGAATAGAAATGAGTTAAATCAGCTGCATCGGGAATATTCACGAGACTGGGCGAGCTTCTTGCAACTTTCTAGCAACACTCAAAGCAGCTGTTCGACTGGTTTTCAAACGAGCAAACTGCCCTTGCGAACAAACGCCAACATTGATTACATCATGGATGAGACAGCAAAAGGACAATAAATCGCAATGAAAATGGTAAATAACAACAAGTAAGTGGAATCAGCAGTGCGAAAGGATCACCAGCTGGGAATTTTAGGCCGTGGCTGGCGACGGCCGATGGCTGAAATTCGCCGTCGGCTCGGGTGCCGGCCGCGCCGCGTCAGCTGATGCGACGCGGCCGTCTGGGTCTCCCCGGCTGGCGTGCTCTCTGGGCGCCACGCTGGCCGCCACGCAACCGCCGCCGCCGGGACGACCTTTGCTCTGCGGATACAGCTGTTACGATGCGGCGGCGGCGGCGGCGGCCGCGACGGCCCCAAGAGCGCTCTCTCTCCCATGCAGCAGCGCCAGCGCACTGATAGCGCCGTCGCCGTTGAGAGTTTCGACGTACAAACCGAAAAATGACGGCTGCAATGAAGGAATCGCAACCACCTCGGCCACGTGGACGTCTGGGGGCACTTTTCAATGCGGAAAAGGGATCTACTGGACTGGGAGCCTTCATGTAGCTGACCCAAGGGCCTTTAGGCTAGCTTAGGGAGGCACGGTGCTTCGTGGGTTTTTGCAAGGGCAGTAGACGGTTCGTGTCCTCCTGTCTGTACCTCTCACCGGGGAAATTTTAGCATGAACTTTTTCGAGTGGGCCAGATGATCTTCCCTTCATCAGACTAAGAAGATGTTTAGGTGCATTTCATACAAAGTTCTACCCAAGAAGCGCCCCCGCTCTTACAAGACCATTGAACATTATCACGATAAGTGGGCATAGGTGAGAGCTGATATCCTGCCAAACGCCTTCCCCTCCTTTCTTCTCACATAGGGCGAAAGTAGCTCACCCAATCTGAACAAATGGGAAATCTGCCTAGATTTTCTTCTCCATGAAAAACCGGATCCATCCTTTCCAAAATATACGGACATAAAATACCAGTTTTAATTACTAACTTTTTCCTTTCCCATGGTTCCTTCGATGTTCGGATCAGCCCGAACTCAAGAATTGAAGAACAAAATTGTAATTCGATACAAAAGGATAACTGTGGTGTAATGACAAGTGGCGCACTATCACACATGCATGGTCCCGGGATCAAATCGAAATCAAGACCAGCACACTTCAGCCATCCCTTTCATCCCTTCTTCGGACCGGCTGATTGATACCAGACTAGTCTGAGAGGAAAGAAACACTGACTTGTATATCGGCTGTCTATCGGCTCATATCGGCTCATAAAACATTGTGTGGTCACAAATGCATTCGAAGTGATTCTGAATGGAAGTCTAATGCGGGGCGCACTCCCAAAAACGGGACTGATTAACGCTGGAGACTGCATACTTTCAAGCTGGCCCGACTGATAGTCCTCCTGTACATCTGACCGCTCCAGTTTTTCCTACAGTTTTGTACGAAAAGTCCCACAAGAATACTCCGCCCATGAAAGCTCTGGTTTTTAAGGAAATCCAAGTGAATCGGAAAACAAAACACACCCAAAGTAAGAAAGCCGCAGTTGGAGTTTCGGGTGTAATTGAGGGTCAATTGATTCCGGTAAATAAACAAAGAGGCATTAAGGTTTGCTTGTTTCTCCTCGCGCCTTCCCATAGAGAGGACACCAGGACACCAATACTTCATAGGTCTGCCCATATGTCCCTTACTCTAATAAGCGGAAGCATAGGATATTTTTCAACTAAGATGTCTATCGATTGGTAGAGGGAAAGAACCGAAGAATTCTTGAAAAGATCAGATTTCCTCTCACGGAAAGAAGTTACGGCGCATATACGGCGTTTCGTTTTAGGTGTCGCTACGCGAAACGCTGAGGGGAAAAAGAAAGAGAAATAATCAATACGCATCTACATCTTCTCTAATTGCCTCGCGCCGCAAACTATGAACCCAGCCTGACGCAGTGGTATTTGCAAAAGGATCATTAACCGCGTAAAAGATCAATTTGGCTATTTGAAAGGCACTTCTAGAAATGAGAGATTCAAGTGGAAGAGATTAAACAGTAAACCAATGACATTCGCTGTCGATTCGCTCTATCTACTGCTCCATTTCAATACATTTTAAGCACACCAAATCAAAAGGGCATAGCATTAGTCCAGCAGAAAAACGGATATAAAGTGAAAAAATATAAATGCCAAGTACAGAAAAGTACAATGAGTATGTAAGTACAAGTAAGGCACGGTACAGATACTGTTCAACTTTCCACAAGGAACGGCTATACGAAGGAAGAATTGGGTCATTAGGTTCGTTCAGTCCAGAACATATGTAGTCGATTCACAAGAGGCCTGTGGAAAGATAGGTAGGAAGACGCTTTGCAGATGGCTGCATGTCCTTGAAACATTTTTCTGAGGGTTAATGATCGAAAAGTGCCGAACGGGACCTCCTTTAGCATGGTTGATACTCTGATCGCCCATAATTTGTTTTAATAGCTCCCAATCCTAACTGACCCTATTAAGGGAAAAAAATCAAAAGCTATAGATCATTTGGAATAAAGTCTGGCTTCCTGA